GTTTACTTATATATCACACTTCAAACAGATTTTTCTGATTCTGGCTCCAAGTTGCACTCTAGAAACCATGGGCAATGATTATCAGATGCTCAAGTCATATGGCAGATGGGCAAGAGCAGCCCACTGGGGCAAGGAAAACTGGCTTCCCCAGCAAATGCAATGTTTAGATCCATTAATAAAAGTATAAGTGTCCAGGACAAGTTAGATAATAACAGTCACACTGTTCAATCACATTTAAAGGACTGAGTTCAATTCAGTGCACCACACTGTAAGAGAAACATTGATAACCTGAAGTTAAAACAAAGGAGAGTAAAAGGACCTAGAATCCATGTCACATAAGGAATGGCTGAAGGAATTCAAGTTTTTTAAGAGATAGTGGGACATCAGAGGTGTCTTCAGATATTAGAAGGCTTATTACATAGAAGCAGGCATGTATGGGGCTAGAGATTTAAAGCTGGAAGAGACCTCAGAAGTCATCAGTCCCTTATTTTACAGATTAGGAAACCGAGGCCCAGAAAGGTTCAGTGATTTGTCCAGTTATACAAGAAGTAAAGAGAAAATTGGGGCTTGAACCCAGATCCTTGGATTCCTTTGAGCCAGAAGCTCTGGATTTTGGATATGATATTTCTGGGAGTTTTCACCTTCAAGTTTCTTTCAGGAGTTGACCAGGGGATTCTTTCTGTTTCCACTTTGTCCTCTGGTTCTAGTAAGTCTGGGCAGTTTTCTTTCATGACTTCTTGAAATATGATATCTAGCCTCTTGTTTTATTCAAGTAATTTGATGATTCTTAAATTAGCTCTTGATCTGTTTCAATTGTTTTTTATAGAAGATAATCTTACATTTTCTTTTATTTGGTTCAATCTTTTGACTTTTTTGATATTTCTTATTGTCTTGTATAGTCTTTAACTTTGACTATTATAATTTTCAAGGAGTCCGTTACTTGGAAGTTTTGTACATTTTTTGCTAAGCTGTTCATTCTTTTTCCAAGCCCTACCTCTCATTTCTTTCCAAGTACTATTTCTCATTTCCTTCCCAGCGCTCAGTATGGTGCTGTTCTTAAATCTTTATTGGAGTTATTGTTGGGGGAAGCCAGTGGGGAGGTGAAGCTGGGCTATAGTGCTTCCTCCTACTTATCCATCATGGCTGGTGTCCAAGGTCCTAGGATCCCAAATTCAATCTTTCCAAGATATTATGCTGACTCCAAAAGATAGAATTAGTACCAAGAGGTAGATCTGAATTCAATTAAAAAAAAATTCGATATATTCAGAAGTAGAACTAATTGCCTCATCAGGCAGTGACTCCACAATCATGAAGAATGCTTACAAAGTTTCTGACCACCAGTCATGAATGTTGTAAAAAGGACTACTCTGGATAGGAAGTTAGATGAAATATTCTTTTTCAACTTCAAGATTCCATGATTCTGACTAATTTAGCTTCTTAAAAATACACCACAGTGGGGCAGCTAGGTGGCACAGTTGATAGAGCACCAGCCCTGGAGTCAGGAAGACCTGAGTTCACATTAGGTCTCAAACCAGACACTTGACATTTATTAGCTGTGTGACCCTAGGCAAGTCACTTAACCCCACTGCCTAGCCCCCCCCAAAAAAATACACCATAGTGCCAGAGAACTGCCTGAGTGACAGCAATGAGAGTGGAGACCCTAGTTTGAGTGACCAATTTAGCTATCTAAAGTGAATCATTTTCTCTACATGTATACATGTAGAGAAAATACAAAACCTTTTCTTCTGCATTATTTTTTGAAACATTTCACCACTTGAACGTGTCAAGTTATGTGATGAATCAAAAGGCAACAGGCCACAAAAGTAAGTCTACCTAGTAGGCCATTATACTTTAGCATTATGCCCAGAAATATGACTAATATTTATTCCATAAAAATTCTAAAAGTATTCATCAATACCAGTTGTATAAGAATAATACATGTTCAGGATTTGTTTCTAATCAAAACAATATAAATCCAAATATAAATTGGTTTTAAATCCAAATAAATAATGTTACTATTTAAGACAATGATTGGTTCTCATCTATGCCTAAGCTTCATTATCTTTTCATAGAAAACAGTAAGGACACAGAATTGAGGTTGGGAGAAGAGGAGGAAGGAGGGAAAAGCAGAACCTTAGATGACATGATTTAAGGGCATTTGAAGAGATAGAGATACACATACATACACACACACAAAACGGATGTTCAAAATAAGTTACTGTCATTAACAACAAAGGTTGGACTTATACTAACCACAGAATTCTTGATGTAACAAACAGATGGAAAGAACTAAACACTAAGGAGTTAGGTAAAATGGGTCAAAAAGACAAGAGATCACGACATAGGAAAAAAGGAGAAATTGTGACAATTTCAGAATCTGAAAAACAAATATTTTTTCTGTCAAACAAAATTCACTCAAGTATACTCTGAAAGAAACAAAAAATAATGTGTAAGTCACACAATCACAAACAAAAGGTTAATCTAAGCAGAGTGCTGGAAATAACTTTTTCATTTGAGTCATTTAAAAGTTAGATCGTGTAGCTGAACCCTCTTCATTTTACAGATGAAGATATTAAGGCCCAAAAGGATAAGGTGCTTGGCCCAAGGTTACTTATCAAGTGACTGACTTGGAGAATTAGAGTCTGTCTCCTGATTCCTAGCTCAGGTATCTTGAAACTACATGTCCCTCTGTCCATTTCTTAAATCTGGAAAATTGAGGTGTTGAATAACAGGAAGTATGTCTGATACGTATCAAATGCATTTGCCTTATAACTTCATTCAGGATGCAGAATGTGATGTCCTTTTTTGTTTTTTGGTTAGGCAGTTGGGGTTAAGTGACTTGCCCAGAGTCACACAGCTAGTGAGTGTTATGTGTCTGAGGTCACATTTGAATTCGGGTCCTCCTGACTTCAGAGCCCGTGTTCTATCCACTGCACTACCTGGCTGTCCCTGTGATGTCATCTTCAATAGATAACTAACATCCTTCACGTAAGTCTTCAGCAGAGGTGTCCCAAGGCTGTCCTACAAAAGCACAAGTCCTCAGGTTCTATGAAGCTAGAAAAGCTTTGAATATTGTCCTTACAATATTATCTGCATCACTGTTGTCAGAGGACTGGGTCAGCTAAGGGCAGAGAAGCTAATTTTCAGGAGAAGGAATAGCAAACAGATAATGATTTTTTTCTTCAGTAGCAACTCCTACTATCTACTAAGGCATGAAGGGGATAACAACCGTCTTTAATGAAGAGAGTACCTATAAAGTCAAATCAAATCTATGAAGTATTGGGAATTTTATTCAGAATACATTTCGTCTCTTCTACTGTAAAAAGAGAAGATTAAACTAGGTTATTTAAAACGTTTCTACTAAACTTGAAATGCTATGGTTGTACCTACAATCATGGCTAGTACTTATATCTAAATTTTAGGTTTGCAAAGCATTTTACATGTACACTCCTCCTTTGATCCTCACAACAACCCTATGAGGTAAGTACTATTCTTATCCCTATCTTTAGAGGAGGAAACTGAAGCTCAGTAAGGTTAAGGGACTTGTCAGCACCACACAGCTACTAAGTAAGTCAGATTTCACATCTTGCTGACTCCAAGACCAGCACTATTTCCAATACCCCACACCTAGCTTGCCAATTAACATACTTTTTCTTAATCCAAGTTGCTATGTCACATAGTGACAACACTAGGTAAATACCACACACTTCTACAGAAAAGAAAAATCTAGGAAAACAAAGCAAAGGAAAATATTACAACAATGACATTACCAAGACAACAGCTCATTTTACCTCAGACATGGTGATCTATCAGTTTCTATCTCCTTGGCTTTCATGAAAGCTTTAACTAGATTGATAAACTTGAAAGCTAATTAAGTGCCGATGTACTCTGCACTATTCTGTACACATCTGGAGTACTATGCTCAGCTGGGGTGACACACTTTCTGAGGGGCACTGACAAATTGAAGCAGGGGCAGAACAGAATAAGCAAGATGATGAAGGACCTGGAAAAATTATGTCATGTGAAGAAGAGCAGCAGGAACTAGGGGGTGGTGCAGCTCTGAAAAGACTTTTCAAAGGGAAAGGTTTATCCTGTTCCTCCTAGGACATGGAAGGGCCACACCCTTAGTTATAAGGTGGCATTTATTATAACAAGAAATGTTTATTCTAGGTTATAAGTGTTGTGGTTGTTGTAGGAATTCTTTAGACAGCAGAGTATCACCATTGTTGGAGTTTATGCTGGCATCTGGTAGATGACAAAGCACTTCTATAGATTAAAGAGCTAGGTCCTTCATTTGTATGTTTGAGGATGACCATTTTGGAATTAAACCCGTTGAACAATCCTTAAACAGACCATCCCTGTATTTTCACTTTATTTTTAAATATTAAAAATCTTACACTATTCTAGACTGTGCACGGTCTATAATCTACCTGTTTGCTTGCTTTGTCTGTATTTTCTCAACAGGGAGCAAATCCAGCAAACCGAATCCCAAGGGAGGAAAAACAAATCATTCAGTCGCTGCCTCTGGTGGATTATGAAAACGGCAGTCCTGAATGTATCCAGGAGTCTGTCTGGATGTACCTGTTATGATCTGCATTCAGGGACACAAGTTCACGCAAGCTGGTTCATGCATCCACGGATGAGCAAGCGTAGACATGTATGTTTCTGACGGCGCTACCAATGCGTTTCTAAGCATGCTGGGCACACAACAGTGATCAGATGCATTCTTAGCCACCAGCCTCATAGACAGACTTCACGTAGATCTGCAGGCCAGTTAATGTGAACATGCAAAATGGGATGTATGCAATATCTCCCCAGGTAAGTGCTTAAAAGAGTCAAGTTAGGAACTAGAGAGAGGGGGCGGGGGAGGAAACGGGCCTAGGCGGCCCCTCTCCCAACTTTTCGTGCGCTTCTTCCCAGCCCCGGACTGACACACCTGGCGCAGGTGAGCGGCCTCCCCACCCCCCACCCCCGGTGTCCCCGGCCCGGGGCGCACTCACCAGAACAGCAGGTTGGCGCAGACAAAGCCCACCAGGCTGTGGAGTGGCCTCCGCCAGCTCAACGCATCCCCGACGCAGCAGCTCAGCAGCAGCGCCGGCTCCCCCCAGCAGCCAAGTCATCGCGGCCGCCGCCTGCTCTTCCCACGGCCGCGCGGTCTCCTCCAGGGGCGGGGGGGCCCCGGCCGCAGCTCCCCGCCCAGCGTCCGCCGCCGCCGCCGCCGCCGCGGGCGCAGCCTCCTCCTCTTCCTCCTCGGCAGCCGCAGCAGCAGCAGCCGGTGCAGCCACGGCGGCTGCCCGCGCACAGCATCCTCCCTCCTGCTCCTCCTCCCGGGGTCCCAGACTCGCCATCTTCAGGTTCCACTCGTGCTTTCTGGGGCCCGGAGGGATGGCGGAGCCCTGCGGTCTGTGCGGTGGTTGGGGATGGTGGTGGTCGTGGGTGTGTTGGTGGTGTTGGTGTTGCCGCTGCCGCTGCTGTTGCTGCTGCCGCTGCTTGCCTCCGCCTCGGCTCCGAGGCTCCCCGGGGGCCGAGAGGGGAGGAGTGTGGGTGGATGCAGCGCGCAGGGCGGCCGGGGGCCGAGGGGGCGGGCGCGAGACTGGCCCAAGGCTGCCGCGGGGGCTGCAGGCGGCGTCCGCGCACCGGGCTGCTGATTGGGGTGGGGGGGACTTGTGACGTCACAGAGCCCGGGCTGGCAGCGGGCCGCTCCTGGAGCCGGACCGAGCCGCGCGGGGCTGCAGCCGTCTGCCCCGCACCGAGCCAGCTGATGGGGTAGGCAGACCGTGCTAGCAGGGGAGGAAGTGGGTGTGGCCAGGTTAGCCCGAGACCAGCTGGTGGATGCAGGCAGAGAGAGATAGTCAGGGAGAGGCGTACATGCTTCCTAATTGGGGGTAGCTTGCAAATAGGGTGGGAGAGCAGGTTGGCTATGGGAAGGCAGTGGCGGGGTGAAGTGTGAGGACTGCCTGGGAAAGTTAGCTTGCTGGAAGAACGGTTGGTGCGCCCGTAAGTATGAGAGAGAAAACCCAAACCACCCTTCCCTGGCCTTGCAATGATTCAACAATTTTTACTCTTTGCTTCCATTCTCAGAGGCGGATAAACTGAAAGGTGACTTTGACCTCTTCCCCCTCCCAACCACCCTTCCCACTACGTAACCTGGAGAAAAAGTCACGGAAGGGCTTGCCTGGTATTAAATTCAGTGTCGTGGAGGACATCCACGACAAAAGATGTCAAACCTCCAGCTGACCAAATTGCTTCCTCTGTTTGACACTCTAGGAAACAAGGCTGTGAGTGATAAGACGAGTGGGAGCCAAATCTAGGACAGATGGATGAAGGAGCAGTGGGTGGAAAGAAGCAAGAGACTCAGAAGGGTGCCTGTGATTCCTGGCCCTTAAATCAAGGCCTCCAAGGACTTAACCTTTCTGAGCCATGATTTTGTTTGTTCCTTTGGCGGGGGCGGTGTAAGATGGAATAGTATCCTATATAAAGATACCAGGAGGTACACTTGCTTTCGGAAAAGGGACCCCACCTGTTATTTCACTGGTGAAACTTCTTTTACCAGTGAAGGTTGGCACTTCTCAGCAGCTGATAGTCTTGGAAAATTACCCTTATCACTGAGAAGTACAGTGACTTCAGAAGCAGAACTTGCACCCGGGTCTCCCTGGTTCCATCCACTAGACCTCAATGCTCTTATATATATCAAATTATGTCAGAGGTTGGAATATATCCTAGGAATCCTAATTCCCACCCTTTCCCAATCGTGGGCCTTGTCTAATGACTATGTGACCCAACTTTTCAATGGCAGTTGAAAGAGAATGGCATTCTCACTTAACCAGGTACACCTCTTCTTTTCCCATGTCACTCCATTTCCTTCTCAATTATTTATGAGATCCAGAGAGAGAAACTTCCCCAAACTAGAGAGCAAATGGAAGCAGTCACTTCAGGTCATTGGTTTGGTGGATCTTACGCTATTGCAATCAGACCATTGGGGAATTCAACAAATTCTGTTCAAAAAACATTTAATAAGCTTTGTATATGCTAGACATTTGGGATATAAAGATGACAACAAACAGCCCCTTTCCTCAAGGTACTCACATTCTATTGGGGAAAACAGGACAAGTGACTCGATTCAATGGCTGGGGATAATATTTATTTGGAGGATTAATATGCCTGTTAAAAAGCAATAGCATTGCATTATAGTCATACTTCATCTATTAACTTAAGATTTAATTTTTTTTCTTTTATTGCTATTGATGCCATTTGTTCATACATTCCATCTATTTGCAAACATATCTCTTCACCTCTCCACTCAGGCATCCATTGTAAAAAAAATCGTAAAAAGGATTTTGTTTTTATTCTTTGTTGTAAGTGCTATAGATTGCTTTATAGGAGAGGAATATATTCAGAAATGAAGGCCATATGAAAACAAAACATCGCAATAACATTTAAAATAAAAAGGAGGAAAGCAATTCAACAAAAATTAGCATATTGACCATATTTTAGAGTATTTGTAATATTCCATACCCACAGTCCCCAAATAATACAATAAAGGGAGGGAAGTGAATCATCTCATCTTTTCTTAGTCTAAGTTTAGTTATTTTAACTATAATATTCAGTTTCACTTTTTCTTTCCATTGATGTTTTTTAATGGTTCAGTCTATTCCAATTCTTTGAAGCCCTGTGAACCATACTAACCATGGGGTTCTTTTGGCCTTACTGAAGTGGTTTGCCATTTTCTTTTTCAGTGAGTTAAGACAAAGAAAGCTTAACTGATTTTCGGGGTCACACAGCTAGTAAGTGTCTGAAGCTGGATTTGAACTCGGCTCTCCCCAACTCCAGGCTTAGTGTTCTATCTGCTGAGCCATCTAGTTGCCCCAGTCATCCTTATAGTCACTATGTATATTGTTTTCCTCATTTTGCTTATTTTACTCTGCATGAATTCTTATGTTTTCACATTCTTCTCCAAGTTCTTCCTATTTTTCGGTCTTCCCATTGCTCTCTGAATTCTTCATATTTATCATTTTCCCTCGTAGTGCAGTAATACCAGTTGTTTGTCCCTTTCCCCATTTCATCCCTTTTGTTTTCCAGTCTTTACTTCTTGTTTAGCACTTGCTGGTGCCTGTTTCTGAGCAGTCACCTTGGGAGGCTTACTCCAAAGCTGCTGATGTTAATCAAAGCCTTGTTGGAATTCCTCTCAGAAAATGCCTTCAGAGCTACTTCACATTCTTTTGAATATTCTCAATGATGGCAAATCTTCACTAAATATGGATCTGATTTTTGGAAAAGGTCAAAAGCCATTCAGAGTCAAGTTTGGCATAAGGTCATAAAATCACTGATTTAAAGCTGGGAAAAGACCTTACAGTCAATGAATCCAACCCATTCATTTTACAGATGAAGAAGTTGAAGTAATGACTCTCCCAAGGCCCACAGGTAGTATAATGGCAAAGCCACGTGTTAAGCAAGCAATAAGTATTTATTTACCCACACTGTGTGTGATGCAGTTAGGTAGTAGCATTGTTTGTGTTGCTTTTGTTTTTAAGTTTGACTATAAAATACCAATACTGGTTTGGTTTCGTGGCTCGTGAACCGGCTGAATGTATTCCCAAAAAGATGAAAGTACTTGATGCTTCAAACATACTTGGAAAATGTTTAGATATAAAAAAAAGATTTAAAACTTGGATTTAATAACAAAAGTACCCTTCAAAGTCTGCTTCAATAAATCTTTCCAGAACACTGTCATCAACATGTATTCTATTCACAGACATTCTGAGTTAGTCCAAAATAGTGCCCTCTTATAAAGTAAGTTATCTTTCTCCTCCAAACATCTTATTCAATTCAGATTTACCAGTTGTGGCCCAGAAACAGAAATGAGAAGAAAAGTAGCCATAGACAGAATATAACTGTCATTTTTAAAAAATCAGCATTTTACTGAGCCCTGCAAGAGTGTACACACACACACACACACACACACAAACACACACACACACACACACACACACACACACCACACCACACCCACCCACCCCCACCAGTTTGGAGAGTTGCTACTGGTAAAGGATTTTTAATAGTGCTATTGTCCTAATTATAACACGATGATTTCTCTTCCTTCCAAAAACTCCCTTCGGTCCACATGTTTTATGACTTATTCTTTCCCATCTAGGCTGTTCTTGGTAATCACCTTAACCTAATTTTTGCCTATATAAAAATATTGGGCATAAGTAGGGGGGAAAGTACAATGTAATTTGCCCTGGCCCCAGATCCCTAGGATTGACCAAGGGAAACCAAAAACACCATCACCACCCTAAAGGTAGCCAAACCTGTTTGCCAGTAGTACTAGATGAGTGTTGCCTAACTCTGCTAATGACTCTCAGGACCACATAGGTTACTGATTCCTCGATTAAACTACTGCCCTTGACTAGTCAATGAGGTATATGTTTATAATTTTAGCTGACCCTTAGACCACTAAGATGAGATCAAATCCTGCAGTGTACAGTACAGAAAAGATCACTTTGTTTTTAGAGCTATATAAACTATATATCATTAATTTTGTTCAGAATATAGTCATAGTCATGACTATAGTCAGAACATAGTCATAAGACGTGATGAAATGAATAAATAACCTGCTGGATCAACTCAATGATGTGGGTATTCCCTCCTGTAAGCAAATGGCCAACTCATGCATACTTGCCTTTTCTGTCCAGTTCTGTACTCTGATTTTTTGTTGTTGCTGCTGAGTCATTTTTCAGTTGTGTCCGACTCTTCATGACCTCATTTGGAGTTTTCTTGGCGAAGATGCTGGAGTGGTTTGCCATTTCCTCCATTACATTTTACAGATTAGGAAACTGAGGCAGACAGGGTTAAGTGACTTACCCAGAATCATACAGCTAGTCAATATGTGAGGCCAGATTTGAACTCATGAAGATGAGTCTTTCTGATTCCAAGCCCACCACAGAATCTACTGAACCACCTAGCTGCTCACTCAACCCAATAAATTCAACACAAGGACCAACCCAAAGTGCTAGAGCACATGAGCACATGTCATTTATCCTTCACTGTGCCTAACATCCCAGCTCTTTTTTTTTTCCAGATTTGTGTTCTAATTATGCCTCTCCTGTACTTATGCAGTTGGGTTTTTAACTGAAGTGTTTTGTCATTTTTAAAGTTCTCATTAGGATCATAGGAACACAAATTTAGATTTGACTCATTAAGCCAGCTTGTTAAGATCTTGTTGGATCCTGACCTTGTCCATCTGTTAACAAACAAGTAAATCCCTTCTAGCATTGCATTATATGAAAATTTGATAGCCTTTCATGTATTCCTCTGTCAGTCATTAATTAAAATGTTAGACAGAACTGAC